CCCCCCCCCCCCCCCCCCCCCCCCCCGAGTGGGAAGGACCACGGCATCTCTTGCATACGGCACTGTCCAAGACGAAAATCCACCGTCAGCTCGCGTACAGTCAAAACACGCCCTCCAGACATGTGCAAGCGAATGATAGCGGGAAAGTAAATAGACAGGCATGCATTTCCTGCCAGGGAGCCACTCTGCAGCTCCGACTATTTGTTTTGACATTCATTAAGTTATCATTTCCAGGCGGCTGGGCCAGCGAGGAACCTCCAAGCCTGAGGTTCACCGCCTCCGGTCGGCCAGTGTTTTGCGGACGGACACCTTAGCTCTACGAATTCAAATACACAGACAAGGCCATTGTGATCCACGACTGAGAATAAGGAAAACATCCTTCTAATTCTAACACCAATGTTTGTGCTCGGCCCGTAGTAGCAGTAATTTTCAGTTGGCGAGCAGGAGCTAAATTTAGCCGCAGAATGGGGAAGTTGCACTTAAATCTCTGGGCTTTATTAAACTTTACCCTTAAGAGAGCAGAAGACGTGGAAAGAGCGAGTCTCTTCCCATTGCCACAAACTATTTTTTAAGTCAAGAGAGTAAATCAGCAGAGAAACAACAGTTCAGCATCTAAAGAAACATGAATCCACAGGTATTAAGAGGTCCTCCTGGTCAGGGCTCTGCAGTAAAGGTTGCCAGGTTGCATGGGCAACCATTTAGAGAAATTGGCAACCCATTCTTGGCCTTTGGTCGCAGTGGAAACCACTTTTTAACCCATGCCCACATGTAAAAAAATACTTTTAAAATATTTGTTGCATTAGTAATATTCGGAACCGGAACCAGACAAAGCGACACGTGCGTTGGTGCGTTCTCGCGCCCGCGCAAAGACATCTGTTTAAGAGATGATGGCGAAGCAAATTAAGTCGTTTGATTGTGGGATAAAAAGTTTGAGTCAACCGTCAACATCACAAACTAATCTGCAAATGTATTCAGCTGAAAAAGGGCCAGATGAACTTGAAGAAAAAAACGGAAAGTACCCGCCATCATCGAGCTGGATGGAAAGTTATACCGCAAAGCATGTACAACACACACATTCTCATTATTAATCTTACTGCATAGTATCTTAATCACTCAAAAGAGAAGGTGACTAAAATCAGCGACCATATTTTCAGTTTCGGCGACCAAAAGTTGATGCTTGGTCGCCAGCCTGGCAACCACTTTTGAAAGCTGGCGCTGAGCCCTGCTGGTTCTCATTTCCTGCCACCCTTTGCATAAGAAGCGCATCGTTTAGTTCCACGGGTTTTGTTGCTGGTTGGCTGCGATCACGTCCAGGCAGCGTTACTTGAGCCGAATCAACACAATGGAACTGCCTGAAGATATTTGGGCTGGTCAAGGTCCTATTGCTCTTAATTAATGTTCAGGACAAAGAGCTCGAGTTTTCAGTGTAAAAAGAGCAGCTGCAGGTTAGCGCAGGCAGTAAAATAGCATTATAAATACAAAAAAAGAAAGTCTTCTTCATGGAGGGAAAAAATAATCTTGTGAGGATGAAATATAAATCCCGGGTATTTACATTTTACACAGATTGGGAAGCATACATATGCTCTCCTGAACTACATGCACATATATTTAAGAAATGCTGCGTTCTTTGTAGGGATACGTATCAGAAGAGGGTTGAATATCACATGTATCTGAAGTTGCTCTGGATGTTGTCGGGTGAGGACAGCAGAGGAGGTGTTCGTGGTTGTAGAAGAGTTTGTGTTTTACTTGTTCACTTTGTCCCTCTTCTTGCCCCCTCCCCAGCCGCCGCTCCATTGGACAGGGTTGTCTCGGTAGGAGATGCGCTCCCTTTTAGACGGAGCAGAGGCGACCCGTCGAGGAGATGGAACCTCGTTTCCTGGAGACATGGATGGAAAATGTGTCAATATCTCACACGTGAATCGAGCAGCATGAACTCAATCCGTCACAGACTTCAAACGGTAATTCGTACAATTTGTGCAATTTTAAAATGACGTATTTGATGCTATCCACTCACGATTTTTGCTGACAAGGTCGGCTCTTTATTTCTGCTCAGCCATTTTTAGGGTCCTTCATAATTGGGGTTATAGTCAATATCATGAAAAGGTTTCCAAAGGAAGGAGCCTTCCAAAATAAACCATTGCAACAGCTGTCGTTGAAGGAATGTATTAGTTCTTGACATGAGGATTTCACCCTGAGGGTCCAAATGTTGGTGGTATTGTGCTCTCCATCATGGAAGTCATGAAAGTCTGATTTTGTGCAACATATTTCATGTTGGGTAACTAAATCCAGAAGCTTTTTTATTGATTTCAAGCAAACACAGAGATTGTTGCTCAAACCCAACAACAAGGAATTTGCAGCTTTTGACCTTGAATGATTCAAATTTTGACTTTAGTTTGTTCTCTCGTCTGCGGAGACTCGAGACGACACAATGTATAATCTCACTGTAAAGACTTAAGTCCGAGCAGGTGAGTTTCGTGTTTGCGTGCTCCGACTCCCGGGAGCGCCGTGTGCCGTATCAGAGGCCCCTTCCATTCCACCTGGGGATCAGTACAAAGCTTTTCAAACACACAGTACAAAGGCAGCGCTTCTACCGGGCATGATGCATTCCACGTGTCGGGCCCAGGACGGCGGTCTCCACGCGGCCGCCGCCACACAGGGAGCCACGCCGCGGGGGAGGGCTCTGGAGGAGGTAGGTGGGGTTGGGACGCATCGCAGGTACTGACCCGGCTCCGAATATCTGCACAGCTGGCACACTGTATAGAATATCCATCCACTCACGAGTCTTCCCACCTCTCTAGTTTTTTAATTTTTTCATCTTCGTCGTGCAGTAATGCCTTTCCGCTCCTCGAGGTTTTGTTTATTTCCAGATATGTCAGGCCAGCTTGTGGTGGCTAAATTTAGTTTATTAAAATACTTTTTGTCCAATTATCTGTTCCAAATCAAAAACAGAATGCGAAAACTTTGCCGCACGTGTTGCCAATTTCAACGCGCTTTGTGCAGTCATGCCATGAGATGTACGGCGATGACAAAAATGGCCACACATTTGACCCGACCGCTGTGACCAAAATAAATAGTTTTCAACCATTTCACTCCTATTAGAGTTGAACGGCGGACAAAATTGAGGGGGCAGATATGCAACTTAAGCGGTTTCCTCTGCACACGTAATGAAAATATTTTCTGGGGCCTGGAAACGCATTTCATGGCACCGTCCCAGCAAGCGGTGGGTATCGCGTTACAACGGGTTACAGAGTATTTATGTCGTCTTTACTGCGACGGCAAACGAAGTGAACCTTTTCACTTTAAACCTTCACTTTGATGTATGTGTGCCACTTCAGAAGCAGTTGGATAAATGATTTTAGTTTCGCTCTTTTACAGGCTCACGTGGGCTGACTGGAAAAGGTTTTGCTTTTTTTCCCCAATTCCCTGATTTCACCCAACTAACCCAATTCCTCTGATACAATGGGTTTTTGATGATGTAGCACAGAGACCATTAGATGCACTCACCAAGTTTATCAAATACCTAATTGGCTTTTTGAGAAAAAGCTCTTGCCTTACACATACATTCATATTTCAATTTGCCCTGCACAACTCTGATAAGTGGTGTTTTCGTCGGTGCGGACAAAGAGGCTTTCTTTCTCCCCGGCCTTCCTCCTGAGGAGGACAACAGTCTGCCTGCTTAGCATGACCTCGCTCCTGCTGCTCCTGCTGCACCTCGTGAAAATCATTTTGAAATCATCACCGGAATCCAATTTGGCTTCGTTAACGGGGACAGGGCTCTCCTTCACTCGGACTCCTGGGCTTGTTTAATGTGGTCATCTGCCGTCGGCCTGTCAGTAGCATCTTTGTCACTCAAACTCCTGAGCTCCACTTCTCCTGACAGAAGGGCCAGTCATTCTTCACTGAAAGGACTTTTTTTTTTCTCTCCTGCCCGTTTCCTGTCAGAGGAGAAATTCACGGCACTCTGTCCCCGGCCTCCCCTTGTGGCCCCCCCCCCCCCCCCTCACAAAGCGGCCGACCGGTGGACTCAGTCTAGGCTGAATAAGCAGCAGCCTTTATCTCTGGCTCGGCTCGGTCTTGGGTCTGTGTGACCCGAGACCCATGGGTGCAAGTGTGCAAACATAGAAACATCTGTACACACATATGCTGGATGTAAAGGTATATACACACACACGTGCACACAAAAATAGACATACAATCACAATTTGGGATGTGACTGTCGATTATTTTCATTGTCGAATATTCTGCTGATTATTTTCTTGATTAGTTGTTTGGTCTATAAAACGTCAGATGATGGTTAAAAATGATGAACATTGTTTCCCAAAGACGTTTTTTTCATTAAATAATTATTCAAGCCGATTAATCAATTTTCAAAATAGTCGGCAATTAGTTTAATAGTTGACGTCTTATTGATTCATCTTTGCAGCTCTAGTCACAATCTATGATTTCTTGGGTTTAAGCATGAAACTGCTGACTAGGTTTGGCTTGGGCTCAAATGTCAGTTCAGCTGATTAATGAGTGGTATAAAATGTGTACAATATGTACTGGATATATTATATAATACTGTTACATATAAATCATATATATAGTGTACATATTAGTGCAAATGTAATATTTTCAATTTCCAATGTTTTGAGGGAATACTGAGCAGGGATGCCTGACAAGTAAAAAAATAAAACTCATTAAAAAATGAAGCATCTGCAAAACATGTCTCTGTGACATTGCCAGTTGTTGTGAGAGAAGGTTAAAAAAAGAAATAATCTACGTTAAGAGGATAATTGAGTCTTCAGAACATTTTCTGAATGTTTTTTTGGGGGGTTTTCTACAAAGTTTCCAGTAACAGATTACATTCTGTGTAGAAAAACAGCTGTGGAGTTCACAAGACTCACTTGCGGGACCCAAGAAGTTTGTGCGAGGATAACTGTGTTCTTTGCAGGGCCGGGCAGCTGAACTGTCGTCGGCTTGCGATCCACTGGCCTGACGTGGACGTGCTGTGTATCCCGGGTCGGCCTGCACACACAGAAACACACAAAACACACGTGAATGAGCCCCCAACGTGACGCATGTCACACAAGCAGTCCAGCATTTTGAAAAACAAAAAAATTTAAAACATCCAACAACTGGCAGCTATGCAGTCTGAACATATCTAAGAAACAGGAGGAAGGGGGGGGGGCTCCTCTTGCCAGTGATCATAACTCAAACTGCTCTATAACGGCGCAGGGAGACCTGCAGTTCCCCCGACTTCAAAGACCTCGCGAGCATCAGTATCGTTCACGGGTCCAGGAGAACTGCTCCAAAGTGACACTGGGGTTTCTGCAAGCAAAATGAAGAAATTGCAGCTAGTTGATCCAATTGAAAGTGTCGTTGTGGAGCTAAACCTCAGACTAACCTCTCCCCCCCCC